GAGGCGCCAGATGATTCGTAGTATACATTGTCGAAAGTAACCAGCACATTGAAACCAAACGGGGTGGCTGGCCCTGTCTGGAGTTGCTGAACTCTTAGCTCACCCAGACAGACGTCCAGGCTACCCGGTCGGCACCACGAGGAGGTGGTTCAGCTCGCCGAGTACTACTACTACTACTACTACTACTACTACTACACCGGCGCACGCTGGACACATTTGAATTTCCATGTTTGAACAGGCAAACGTTTTCACACTTGAGTGATGTGGTTGGTTCGCTCGACGCCTTGAAACACGACACAGTAACTGTCATGGTTGTGTCAGTCGAGTGGCTTGCCTTTCAGAATTTTCCAGTCAGGTAGCACCGCACACGCTCAAGCGTGAACACGTTCGCCTTTTTAGAGGAGAAACTTCAAGTGTGTCCGGCATGCGCCGGTGAGCTAGCGGTAACACACACATCTCCACAGTTCAAACCACCGCACAGCCAAGAATATGCACTACTGATTAGCTCTAATAAGAGCGGAACTCGAATCCTTTGACTCGCCATAATGACTGCGCCAGGACAGGCGGACGATTGTTCGAACGAGAATGATGTGAACATGAATTCTACGAATCCTACAACCACTAACAACCAGTAGGTTTAAATGATCCGAGTGCAATACACTACTGCTGCTTCTATTTTCCAAAGGTTGGGAGTATTTTGTTTTCCTCAGAAGAGCAATAGTGTGATCTTCAGACTCTGGGTAGCAGCTGGAATGCACTGGGATTTACCTGTCAGATGGATTCGATAACTCGCACGGTCGTCTTTGTTTGATTTCCGTCTAAAAGCCTCTGAACTTAAACCTCTCATTTTCAGTGATGTCAGCGCAGTTTCGGCTCTGGGCCAAGGATTTTGCTTTCGTTCTTGAGTGAGGTTCCATCCCAGGACTGTGTTTTTGTGTAAACTTGCTCGATGTGAACCATGTGGATGAGTTTTGACATTCTTAAGATTCGTGATTCTATCCCAACTATGGATTCGTAATTGCTCCTGTCTGGGCCTTGCCAACGTGGCAGCGTCTCAGCTCTCATGCCTCTTTCGGGTTTGATGACAGCTTTGGACTGAAGAGGGACGGCATCTGAAGCATTGTTTCCTAATCTGCATGGTTTTGTCGACAGCTGTTTCATTCTTTACTATTTTTGGTGCGATACAATACATACATACAGCATCATATGTATGGTCAGGTACACAGAAAATCCCCGGTGGAGAATCCTGCGTAATTGCCGAACGCGTAATGAGTAAATGGTCAGTCATTCTTCTTCAAAATGAAGCATCGTATTTTTCAATTTGATCGAGAATTTTCTATGATCAGTCTTGTCGTCATTTGAGTGGTATTTCTATGATCCACTGGCGTGTATCTGTTACCACACAAAATGATAGTGACTGTGGATTTTTTGGACTAGCAATTCTTTTCTGTTTGTGCTTGTAGCCAGAGAAACGCACCTCGTCCCCGGATACCCTTTTATTGCGGATCAATGATGGTCCAGTCACAGCTGATTCCTCAACGTAAGTTGTTGTGTCGGCTAACGTTTTACGGTAAATAATTTCCGAGCTACTATGATTGATGTGTTGCGCCCTGTAAGGTTTTTGCATTTCTGTTTGCAGAAACCAGTAATTGCACCCAGCCCAACTTGTTATGCATTTTTCTCTCGCCTCCCTTGATGAGTCATCTTGCGTTTCCAGGTCATATTCTGCTCCCGGTAGTCTAACGCTGTCTCGTAGTCTAGTAAACTTATCTCACCTTATTTTGTGAACTTGTGAAGCTAAGTTGAGTTTGGTTGACGTTTTCCAGAAAATGAAGGTTCATTCTGATGCTATAGGCTACGATACTATGTTGGCCCATATTCACTCAAATAGGCATTCATAGGAGTATACCATACAGAAAGGTGTGCTCTTATTTTCTTCCCGGTCGGTGATTTCCCCCTTTACTTGCAATTCCTCCATGTTAACGATCATTCACGAGTAAATCTTTCTTGGGCACCCTCATCTCAGCCACCCTCCGTGTTGAATTAAACTGTTGTCGTATGGGAATGAATGACCTTAGCATCACTTGGCTGATCCTAATAAACTTCAATCCCTTTGACCTCCTTTTTTAGGCATAATGTGACCCTCTTCAAATCCCGAATTTAGAACGTAGGCGACTTGAACTCCTTCGCCGGCAATAAAGGTGGTTATGTATTGCCTTTTGTTTAGGGCCAGGCCTTATTTGTTCGTGTTTTGTGGGGTTGCTAACTCCAGGTGATAGACCACCGAACCCGTAACTCTCGCTCTAGGTGGTATGGCGTTTTATAATTGGTCACATTGTTCAGGACGTTTGATTTTGAGGTTCACTCTACATTCACCGGAGCACTCGCGAATGAGCAGCGATAAATGACAAACTGTTCTATATCTGTCAGGGATCCTCACCGGAATCATACTTTTTCCAGGAAGTTTCAGTCACGAAGGCACGTACGAATGCGAACCGCCTTGTTAGTCATAAATTCGACGTTCGTGTCATCAATGTTTTGGGGTATGAGGATGAGGCACATCAAATCCTTGCTGCTGATATTACTCATTTGAACACTGTAATATTTTCAGTCGTTTTCAAAATGCATCTGTATTTGGGGCACTGATCACTTTGTTGACATTTTTGGGAAAGGAGCACAGATTAAGCATCCATTTGTCTTCACACAATCTCCTAGTCAGCGCGTTGCTCTTTGGAAAAAAATTCTATTGTAGTTCTGTGAAGCATTTTCCAGTTGACAATTGCCTTGCTCCGGTGAGCAAAAACTTCCAGTACAGTTTGGTCACATCAGACACCTGTTACAGACAAAGAACGCCCCTTCTCAATTGTATATCGAGTACCCCGTCGTGATTCACGATTCAGATAACCTTTCGGCAGTGACCGCTGATGAAACTAGTCGGAAACGGTCGGACGGATGCCGTGTGAGATATTTGTTTCCTTAATTTTACCGGAGAAATGTTGTTGTTGGCAAAGTTGGGACGGATTTAACTTAGTTGTTGCCACCAGGTTTGTGGTGGGAATTTGACGAGGCCTAATTGAAGAGGTCGTTAAGGACAATGCCATTGCTGAGCTACCAGTGCTTTGCTAGCTTACGAGGGCTTTCTAGTGTGAATAAACCAAACAGTCTGTTTTTTAGCGGCCTTAATTTGACAGACCCACTAGGTATTTTCTCAGCCCTCAAAAGGTCTGTGGACTACAGTTTGTCATTCTCTCTTAGCTGGTTTTCATTGAAAAAAAAGACAAAGTGATGAGTTATTGAAAACATTTTAGTATTGTTTTTGCTCATTTTAAGGTGACATCCACTGCTGTGCTGTTGAGTCATCGCTTTCATTCCTTTCTGTAGCACGTGCTGTAGAGAAGTTCTTTTATCGAAAGTTCACTCTTTTGAGCGGGTTCCCATTATTACTGAACTCGCTTCATGTGTCTTTGTTTCAGTCAACGTTCCTTGTCAGAGGCCGTGATGTCACCGATTGCCATTGTCAGTGCGGCCACTTCTTCATCGAGTGACGGTGGTAGTGATCCAAGTTTGGTCCTTCTGACTCCGCCAACCATTTTCAACTTGTCTGAACGCCATAAACTTAAACCAGACCTTTCCACGGACGCAGAACCCGCGTACGCTTCTGACCTTTTCTCCGATAAATTTGAGTCGATCAGACCATGGGCCGGCGTGAGTAAATCATATCTGGAACGCGCAACACGAAGTTACCATCCGTATTCCTCTACAGGTCATTGGCAGGGGCGGTGAGTTTGCTTCATGTCATCTCCTTCAATAAGGTTCATGACAAGTCACGGTTTTACCCAGCGTTTTACCTAGCTTCTCGGCTGCCATATATCGATTAGGTGTCAATCGTTGGGAAAAGCAGGCAGTCGAGCAGAACTACGCTGATAATCTACACTTCGGAAGATTTCGGCATGTGTCATCATGATTTCACTTAACCGAACGTGACCATTCGTCTGCGACGGCTGGCTAGCTCTATTACCAGCTCAGTGGACTTCGCTCGTAACGTTGTGTTACGACAACCTCTTATATTTAACGAACAGCAGAAGGGGGATACTCCAGTTTTGACCTTCCACGAGTATTCTTTGGTGTTTACACCTCCAAACTTTCAGTCGGAACCAGGACACCATGGACTGCTGTCGGTGTTTCCGAGTAGTATCTTCAATTACACGCGTGAAACGATGCGGCTATTATACAAGAAAATGGGTCGCACCAACGTCTGGCAGCCGTCTTATAGTCACCATTCTGTATCATTATTCTCTCCATTGTTGCTCCAGAGACGATGCTGGGGATAGCACTGTATAGCTACAAGTCCGTGGTTGGATTCGATCTCGCACCTCTTGATTGCTGCTGCCTGAGCTTCGATAATCTGACAGTATCTCAACCATAGCGTTTGCTATATGATGCATGCTGCCGTGATTAAAGTATTTCCTTCATACTGCTAGTAATTTAGCATCAGTCCTGGTTTTTTTTCTGGACAACAATGACTCCGCACGCGCAGCATACGATCTCGTCGCTGGAGTTCCTGGTACGAGATACATTTCGTGCTAGACTCACCTGATTCGCCTTGTGTGAGAGCTGGACAGAATCGCATGATGGCTCGAAGTATCTTCTTGGAAAGGACAAAAATAGACACTGGTTGAGACCCAAATATCATGAGTAGAGGAATGATGGTGTTTGTTAAATTATTAGTTTCAGGTTTTCTTGCTCATCGGATGGGTTCATAACCGAGGGTGTGATTGGTTTTCTGTCAGCTGCACATATTGTTCTACAGCATAATTAAATATTTATCACTGCGTTTTGTTGCATCTACCGGCATTTCCGCTACCCGCATCCGCGTTCTACTCTGTTACCGTACCCCCCCCCACTTTCGGGTAATTTCAACTAGTCTACGTGGCCCTTTGTAATTAGTGTTATTTATGGTACGTTGCTTGATCTAATCTGTTATGATTTGGAAATGTGGTGAATATCAGTGGATATTTATTTCTGGATGTGGGCCTTTGAGGTGAATCTCTGACTTTATCCTTCTTATTCGTATCTGACTATCACTAGGAGCAGACTTTGTTTATGACGGTGTGGCGAATGCAAAGTTAGAATAACATAAAAATTTGTTTTTAGTCGCATTCTAACACTAAATTGACCGTTGCGATTCTTGGACTGAAATGTCATCATTCAGTTACACAAGCCCATTCTCTCGTGCATATCCTGTTTTATTTGTTCGTACTCTCTCACTACAGTACAAAGTACGCCAGTCGTTGTATCCGTAAACCGGGCTGCCAACTGGCGTTCCCCAGAAATACCCGTTCAAAGAATATCCTCCGAGGTTTAACGCAGTTTAAATCTCCAAAGCAAATCCATATTCAAGATCCAATGCCGAGTAATATCCGTGAGATCTCAGATATGCCCGTAACCTTCAACCGCTCTCCTCCACCTCCGTATCATCAAGTGGCTCGCGGTCCAATGTTGGTTCCTCAGCAGCAAACGCCAAATCTTTCGTCTGCATACTTTAGTCCGTTTTGTCCAATGTGTCGTGCTGAACAACAATGGTCACATCAGCCAACAAGTCATTTCTTTGATATTGGCGTTCCTGTTCAAACTCGACGGGTTCCTTGCCGCACTCGCCTCAAACACCGTGAACGGAGGAGACGCCGACCATCACCCAACGTAATCCGTGTAAGGTCTTTCGAGATACATGCACATTCAGTCTGTTGTCACAGCGATGACGGAGCATCACCTGCTGACGGCAGTGACAACACTCAGTCAGGCGATCCAAATATCCGTAGGAAACTCTGTGGTGTGCGAGTCACAATTGAACCCCCGGATGTGAGTGGTTGCCTGTCTAGTCTATGCAATGATATAGTTTTATGCAGTAGGAACTGAATGCTTCATTTTTTTTTTGTTATTTTTAGTGTTGTTGTCTTAGGAAAATAAAATAGAATTCTAGTCTATGATATAGTTTTATGCAGTAGGAACTGAATGCTTCATTTTTTTTTTGTTATTTTTAGTGTTGTTGTCTTAGGAAAATAAAATAGAATCATATAATCGGGTGGTGTCACCTGAATGGTCGACCTCACTTTTATATGGTGCTCTTACCTTAGTAAACAGCTCAAGGAAGATAGTCTCCTTAATGATACAAAAAATCCTATCCGTGGTTCAACGGTTATAATCATTTCGGGTGCCTTCATCCTATAGATCATGTATTCTGTCACGACCGGGGTCAGGCTGATCCGTCTGTGTTTACCACATCCACCACGAACCCGTTTTTTAAATGCACACTGTCACCTACTCTCCCCAGCTATCTGGAACGGTTTCCTTTTCCCAAATGCAGGCAGGTAGATCATAGAAGCGCTGACTGAGGACTTCACTCCGATTTTTGAGCTAGGTGTGAGGTCATCCGGACCAGTTGCTCGGTGGTGCTTGAGAGACATGCAGTCATAAAAGTCCGAGGCTGTAGGGTGTTCCACGTTCACCGTTCAGGGTTCTGCGTCAGTTATGGACCCCAGATGAGTTTCAGCTGGTAGCCACGATAACTGTTGTTCGAAGTATCCTGCCCAGCAGTTATTTGCATAGTACTAAGGCACGCTAAGTTTCCCGAGATGAACTCCCATATGTACCCAACGGGACACCGGTGGGACCAAGCGAGCGAATTATTCTAGTGGTCACTGTATGGGGGGATATCCGTGTGGCGATTATGAGAGCTGCTTCTCAACATTTTTTTATTGGACTTCGGATGAAGCACTACAATAGAATGGTACGTGAAAAGTGTGCTTCTAATCCCATAAAAACGGCTCCAACTGGTATCTTGTGTCGCTTTACAAGCGCCGAGTATTGTATACCATTTGCTCGACAACTTCGGTGTCCAGTGTTTATACAAACTTTTGCAAATCGCATCTATATGAAGTGGTCTACAGTTCCACGGTTTGTCTATTCCGTCTTTTTCCGTCTAGTTTCATTTAAAAAAACCATTGACTTGATTACCCAGTGAAATTATCTAAGCATAGAGTAATTGGGGTTACAGTATGGAGGGAAGTACGTCCAGAGATATATGAAAGAACTGTTGCGGTGGAGGGGGGGAACGGCCTTCTATTGAATTTACAGCGTTTCGCGGCGAATTTCGTTATCAAAGTTATGGCTGTTCTAACGGTAACAGCGAGCAACTTTTTGATAAACAAACTGACGTACCTAGATATCCGTCAAAAGTTCCCCGGTAAGTTTACAGAATCTGGATTTGGTTCATTTATAGCTTATTCTAGTGTCGGTTAATCCGGAATTTCCTATAAAACGGTAGGATCTACGCCTCCTCAAATATATCGACATGGCAAAGATAAGTTAGGACGGCCCGGTGAGATTTTCAAATCCCTAGTGTTTTACAAGGGTTTTCCTGACATCTCCCGGACTAGTTCCTCCCGAATGATATTTTGCCCGTCAGTTTAGAAGATCGTGCTGATACCCACGACCTGTTTTAGTTGAATGATTGGACTTCCAGCAGATCTGCAATCCTTTTCCCCTTGTACGGAAGTATGAACAAACAGTTCGAATCGTATCCTTCATTTTGAAGAACAGGACGTGTTGCCCCGATACCTTTACTGTGAGCTGACGAAAAGTAGATAGAACGAGTAGACCCGGCCAAGGTCGAGTCCGGTTAGACGGGTGAGCCAAGTGAACAGTGATCACAATCCCCAGAGAGAATGCGTTGTCAGCCTCATTCTCCACACCCCATTTGTCCCATTCGAACTCAGTCATCCCCACTGGTTAGTTTATGGCGAAACAGCTGTGGATTTACATTTCTGCGTTTTACCTCGGTCTGTTCTACTTCCGTTTTTTTGTTTTGGAACATTCGTCCGAGAATGCCTGTCATGATACCAAATGCTGTATGTGATAGTGGAGGTGTAAGACCTTCCGACCTTGACCCTGGACCTCGACGTCTCCACAGTCCAGTGTGTGATAACATTTCTTCACGGTCTCTGGTTTATAACCGAGGAGCTTACTAGGGTATACGCGTGCTAGCATGAGGGTTTAAAACGACTTAACAACACGAGAATTGTTTGTACATCATCCGGGTAAACCGCTATCTTGAACTCAGATAATGGCACGAGCAATTTTTCGCCCAGTCAGTGTCCAGTAGATGTAAGTCGAATTTTGGAACATTGAGGGTGTTTTTAGCGGGGCCGAATGCTTAGTTGGAGTGGTGTTGTTTTAGCTTGCTCGGTGGGTGTGCCGATTCCAGAAGTCATTCAGTTTAATCCCCGAAATTCCCGTGAGAAGACTAGGCTTATGAACGTCAAAACTGTGATGTAAAAATGACGTGGGAGTTCTGCTGTTGGTGAAGGATCCCTGCAATCACGTCTCATTTTCAGTCTATAAATTATCAGTACTGACTTTTTATCTAATAAAACTCTGGATGGCTTTTCGAAAAGCGTTTCTCACTGCGGGCAATAGGCATTGAGATGTTGATAGGAAAGAAAGTAAATTTGCACATTCCAGTGGTTAGGAAACTGGATATGGTTAAGTCGGTTGCGTGTCGTCTTATCCCGTGACCAACGTGGACTTACTATACTTTCTTTTTGTAGTACTTTTTTTCTGTGGTTTATCGCTATAGCTCATACATCACAGTGTTGTTTTCCCCTTGCGCTGCTCACGCACACAGGTCCAGTATCACCACACCCCGGATACCTTCGATTCTGCCGAATGTTCACCTACTGACACCGCAAATTCGAATTCTTCCGACTCAGGCATTCGCCAAGTCGCCGGACGAAGGGATATGATTTCGTCTCCAGGTTAACCATGACGAAACTGCACCCTTCGCGACTCGTTGCATCGAATATCCTGTCTATGGACATTTCTCATTTGTGTTAATGATCTCATCAATTTACTTGTAACCTAATCTCCTGTTCGTTTATCTTCCGTAATTTCCTATTCGTTTACTTTTTGGCTTTCGTATTTTTAAATGCATGGACAATCTGTCGTCCCCATGCCAGTCGTCAGTCATTCTTATCATCATTAACTTAAACAGCTTCGTATATCCGTACTGTGAAATTTCGGGCGATCGTCACGAAGTCGCGGCTCGCTGTTTATGCCTTGGTGTTTCGTTTACTTTCGTTTTGTACATACGTTTACTGTAGTGTGTCCAAATTATACTTACTATCCCATCCTCTCTTAGTGCCACCAAGTCACGTGCACCCTCATTCATCCCACACTTCATCTGCAGTTCTTCCTTAGGGGTGCATACAACAGTCAGTCGGAGCAAGGGCCGCTCGCGAGAAGCGACCAAATTGGTTTTTCACGAGGGTGTGGTCTGCCTCATAGGGTGGCCACTTTCGCCCGATTTTGTGGGCAGAAACGCACATTCTCCAACTTCATACAGTCGTACGACCGAACACCGTACCTCCCAATGTAACATAGTGGTATGCGAGTTCAATACAATAAAACCATACAAAGACTATTTCACCAACTCTGATTTACCACCTTCAAAACTAATGGGTCTGCTTCGTTTCCGAGAGCTGACTCATCCTACCACAGCAGACAGTTATCATCAAGTCCCGTCTTAGAAATGGTTTGTCACGTGGTATATTGTGACGCGTTATATGGTAATTCTTATATCCCCGCGAACACCACGGCTTCCAACACCGGGCATCTTGTTTCATCCGCCCGCTTGTATGCGGGAAATAAACGATGTCCAGCCCAATCGTGTGGCCTTATTGGCCACACAGTTCTCATTATCCAATCATTTCGGTAGATTTTGTGCCTCTTCTGATTCCTGTCGCTATATCATGGTACGTATTCTTCACTGTTGAACGTCGATCGTAAGCCTCGTACATAAGCGTTAGTTGAATTACGGATATGTAACTTAATTAGAATGAATGCTGTCTAGGCGCAACGCACTACTAGATTTTGCTGAAAACCCTTCGACAGCCCACGACCGGTTTCGCACTGCTTGGCACAGTTTTCGAGTTTCCGTCAAGTTCTTATTTTACCTGATTTTGACATATACAGACAGAAGACTCAGTGGAATCTCTCGTTTATGATAAACGGAATGTGCTGCAACTAGACTGCGATATTCGAGATATCGCAATATGTTGTCTAGCCGCAACGTATTTGGCGGCTCAGTTCAACAGACCATCATAAACGAGAGATTCAGTCACAGTCATTTGAGTCTATTGTCAAAATCAAATTCGTTAGAATAAATATTACTAGAAATCAGCACCTAAATCACAAGAATATGTAGTTCAGGAAAGCCGTTTTTACGATACAGTCAGCAGAAGCTAGTTAATACTGGTAAACTGAGAGTCCAGTGGAAAGCTCGCATGTGGGTGGCGTGGTAATCAAAGGAAGGGGGTGTAAGACACGGTCAACAGAGGGCTGTCGAGTTGGCCTGCAGCAGTCTATGGTTAGTTCAGTTTAAGAGAATGTGTAATTCGTGTGCGGATACTGTTTTGTGACTTCGCGTTTTTCAATTTCGTGTGATAGGGGGGAGTAGACAAAATTGGGAAGATATTTTAACCGCCGTGATTTGGCCACTTACAATCCAGGGAGAGGTACTGGAAGTTATGGAGCGTTTTACGTATCTTGGAAGTTGTATTAGTTCTGATTGTAGTGTGACAGATAAGGTGAATGCACGAATCTGCAAGGCTCGGGCCGCGTTTGCTAACTGGAGACACTTATGGCGTCAGAATGGTTTATCCCTGAATCTGAAGGGATGTGTGTATCAAGCTACAGTACGGGCTGTTTTGTTGTATGGCTGTGAGACTTGGCCTATTCGAGCAGCGGAACCGAGACGTCTTCAGGTGTTCGACAATCTTTGTCTCAGAACCATAGCTCGTGTGGGTTGGTGTCGGTGAATCCGTAACGAGGCAGTTAGAAAGCGTGTTTTCGGTTGTGTAACGGGTACTTCCACTGAAGAATGTGTCCAGCATCAGGAGCTACGTTGGTTGGGACATGTGTTACGTATGCCGAACCATCGTTTGCCGAAGAGAGTGCTGTTTTCCATGCCCAACTCAGAGTGGCGTAAACAGAGAGGTGGCCAACCCTTGACTTGGCAGAGGTGTGTGAAGGAGATCACGAAACGCTTGGGTGCTGTCGGTGCTAATCGCCTTCCAGGATGGGGACCGCGTGATCCTCACTGTGCCTGGTTGGAGACACTACAAGATATGGCTGCCAACCGATGTCAGTGGCGTTGTTGTTGTCAGTTTCTGTCCAGATTGCCTGAGTGAATGTCTGGAAGTGTAGGCACCTCGGAATGATTGTGTTAAGCTAGCACTAAGTCCCTCCCTCATCCACCTTTACTCTTTTCTTCACAATAAGGCTTTCAAATAAGTCGTGGTTGTACGGCAGTGAAGCATCGGTGTTGAACACTGATGTCATGCTGTCGATGATGATGATGATGATGATGATGATGATGAAACCGAGTAACTCGGAAGTACGTTTTTTTCAGGGGGAAGTTCGTTTTGTTCTGTGGAATTGTATGCATTACTGCTTCGACGAAGGTATCACTTGATTGTAGGTTGCTATGCGCACTCGAAGTGATACTCCGCCGCACAGGTAATCCGTTGACAGACAGCTTTGTGATGCCATACAGTGTATTTGTTCCGTTATTTAGTAATTTACAATCCCCTTAGCATAACTTATTTTGCCGCATTTTATCTCAGGTGATTGCGGGCTTCCTCATTCTGCACTCCCCTATTTTCTGCTACTGAATAGATAGCACCCACTGAGAAGCTTTACTAACCTAGAGAGTAATATTTTTATCATACAGTTTTAGTCATTCAAATTGTGCAAACGCTAATGGTATCACTCGATCAGATCGTGACAAGTCTATTGTGCAAAAACTTGGTTTCAACTGGTAACAACAATGAACGAACCGGACATCCGCACCTGGCTTTGTTTTACCGAGTCACACCGACTGAGAAAATAAGCTACGCCGTTGATGGTACATGCCATTTCTAGGATCCTAATTAACTTCGATTTCATTCGTACGGCTACGTCGAGTTAAAAATTGCTGTCTCAGACATGTTCTAAATCGTATCCAGCCACAGAAACTCAGTCAGTGGGATGGAAGATATTGAAGGTTTTACCAGACGTTTGTATCCTTTATAGCATGTGTGCAATGCGATGATAACGACAGAAGTTACACTAATCAACATTGGAGATAAATTGAACTTGACCGGGAATTTACCAGTGCAGCAACAACCACTTCTATCAAACAACTTGAATATTCGTCCTGGCGATTTAAGTCGGCTTTGAACGGATAAAGTTTGACCGATAAAGTTACGAAATTACCGAAGAATCACCCTGAACAGGTTGTTGAGTGCTTGGAACCTGCTCATGGCTAATTAGACCGAACTCTTACAAAGTTGCTGAAGACTCTTCGACAGCCTATGACCGGTTTTGCAGTCCCCGCCAACCTTATGTTCTCCTTGAACCCAAATTGGAGCTCGGGGACTGCGCCTACCTGATGAGCCCCAAGAAGGGCGAAACCGGTCGTGGGCCATCGAAGAGCTTTCAACCTTGTGAATAGTTTCATGAAAATATACTGCGATATCTCGAATATCGTACTAACTGAAACACGAGGCAGCCCTTGACATTCAGTTGGAGAACATCATAAAAGAGATTCACTTGACTCTCCCGTGAAAGGCGAATTGTCGCAAGACCAAACCCTGTTTGGGAGAGCATTCTTCGCATAAGTCTGATCGATTTGGTGGGCGTTTGCCCAAAAGTCGTACGGTCGTACACTGATGTCCCTGCTTCTCTTATTCTCGTTCCGGTTGTCATGCATCGACCTAGTGAATTGAATAGGTCAGGATCATGTAAGTACGGCTGACTGCGCAATGCATCAAGCGAGATGGCCAGTTTTGTTACATACGCTATTCGCATGTTACTTTGTCATAATCCATTTGCGAAACTGTCCGGCACATACATTCGGGTCACCATTTTTGAATGTAAAGCAATTACAGCAGGTCGTATGTGCAACTCACCTACTGGCATCAAAAACGACATGCAACTAATTCACTCTAATACGACCGACAGCTTTATAATTTGGCCGCACCTTCTCCTCGCTTGTGTATACATTCGTACACACAGCAGTCGGCCAATAATTTCATACTTGGTTTTCGTGAGCAATGTGAGATGCCAAGTGAACTCAGTGGCACTGTCAGATGGTTATGCTGTCATCACAAACCATGGTTGTTGTTTAGACGGATGTTGATCTGTTCGCCAAGCTTGGCAATTAACTTGCAAACTGGGAGACATTATCAGTGCGCCGTTGGATGAGTCAAGCCAAGACTCAGTTATTAGGTAGGGAGTTATTACGTTACTAACACCCTGTTCACCGTCCCTGTATTAATCGGTTGAGTGAAAACAGCGGTATCCAGCGATGATGTGAGCGGCCATTGTCTTACTGGGGTGACTATTCCTTACCTTTAAAGAGAACTCTTGGGCAAGGGATAAGGCATATCCAGAACATCCTCGGGAGCATGAAGCCACTAGTCAGCCACTCGCGAGGGAGGCATGTCCGACTAGCGTAAGACTTTTTCAGTGCGGGGAGCATTCGTCACCGAAGGTTGAACGGTTACTTTCGTGTTACCAAGCGAAGCGGGCCAGACAGTTTTGATGTCCTTCAACCATGAATCGCGGCTGTCACTCAGAAGTCGCAACCATCTGCGTAGTATATCAAATTTATACAGGCTGAAAAATACAACGCCTAACGCGCTGCTGTGTGGAGAAACAAATAGAACGTCACAACTCTGAATGTATGACTGTGTTACAAGGCGGATCCAGTAAGTCTCGTGGAATTTACGTGGGAAAATCGCCTCAAAACTGAATTGTGTTTACTGTGTGCACTTCAACCCCTTCCAGCACATACCTGTTCTGCCTTACAATGCACTAACGACATCAGTTCGATTGGTGACGAAACGTCTGCAGCGAAATACCAAGCTCAGAGGACAACCTGAGCTACCAAAATTTCTCTCCATGTCAAATTGCTGTTTCTGCTGTATCGAAAGGATTCTGAATGGGACTTTCGTTCAGATGACCCATGTTCGAATCTTGCATGGGCATCACCAAACTGGCTGTCTACCACTGTCTGGAAAATCGTGTACACGCCGTTTCGTTAAAAAAAACATAACAAGGATGCTTTTTTACTCTTGGTTAAGTTGCATCATTAGGTGTGGTAGCTTCAACTTACTAGCTTTCACCAACTAAGTAATGTCCCTATCGAGAGATTTTCACTCGCTAGAGATTCAATCTTTGGAACTCAGTCCAGCAGTGACTGACCCAAAAACAGGTTTGCTCTCCTAATATAATGGGATCAACCCGTACGTGGCATCACTTGTCCTTCACTTACGGAGTTCGTATCACTTGGTCACGTGTTTACTGACTCCTCGAGTGACAACTGGAAGGTTCACGTGTCGTATGACTTACTTATCCCTCCGAGCTATAAATAGAGCAACTACAGGTCAGCATCCCTACGGTGCTCTGGGCTGCTGCATCTAATCGCGGTTTCCATATCTGTTCTCCTGGATCTCACTCGATACGTTCCTAAATTAGACTATCCTTAGCCGTAATCGATAAATTAGGTGACCACTCTCTTTTCAAGTCAATTTCACGGATAGTTTCCTGCTCCTAATCCAAAGTTCTCCCATTGACACATTCGTAAATAAGGCGCTGCGCTGAAAAAAATGCCGTGAAACGCCAGTGTATAACAGGCAAGCAAGGAAATCAACGGAGTATCTTCCGAAAATTCAGTTGGTATCGCAATCATAGCATTGAAGATAGAGAAAGGTCAGGACATTATCCGTCACCTAGCTTGTATAAACACATAACTGCGGCGCGAGATGGCTCGGCAGTTAGAGCGCAAAATTACTAAGCGGAAGATCCGTGGTTCCCACCCGGTTACATCTCTCCTGGCTAGACTTGGGCCACCTGGCAATATGTCAGCCCTCTTGCTTAGTTCAGGTGGCATAGCAGCTAGGCTCCGAAAGGATGTTACAGCTGAACGATTTTTTAGTATAAGGACGGTGACGTTTGGTGGTACATCTAAGTTCTCCTAGAAACCCGATACCCCTTATCTGGCGAGTCACTCCGAGAAAACATAGGTGGTATCAATTGTAAACGCACTCTGACTACTTAATTTTGCATAGTGACCCTGGACGGATGGAAAACCGCAAACAGTAAATGGACGTATTTTACTTCAAGAAACGGTGGACACTGCAATGGTGGTGAACAATGGCGGACTTATTAGATCCAAACAAAACATTGGCACCAGATAGAAATTTGGGTTCGCCGACGGCCTTAACGGGAGGTTACGCAAGTATCACAAGTGATATTCAGCGCACCTGCACAATGAACCGAACAAGCTAGGAGGAAGAATGGATTTGGTCACGTGCTCACTGCTCCGGCTTTATTTAGCCGGCCGCGCTTTACAGATAAATTGTGTATTCGCGCCAAATTGACTTCGACTGTGGTAGTTTGCTCCTTCAGAAACTCTAAAGTTTGATCCACATCTTGCAAAGACTGTTTGGCCGATTGTTCGTTTTCTACAAGTATCTTGTCAGCCTCTTCCAAGTCATATTCCAGCATAACATTGGCACCGAGCCATAGACCAACTCGATCAGCTTTGGGGATGTGGGCTCGGGCAAACAATTGACTAGATACTTCGAAAGTCACGTCCAGATCTGAATCCTTCTTTTGCAACTGGTGAACCACAGCCAGTGTTTTCTGAATATCCGGTAACTGCTGCATCAGACGAAGCTTCCTCTGAAGCAAAGCTTGTTCTATCAGTTTGTATTTTTGATATAGCTCTTCGAACGACCGGCCAGCTTCCATCAGGGTGGAGAAATTGTTAGCTTTCATGTATGCATCCACGTCTTCCATGAATACGGCTTTCGGGATCCCCTTCCGTTCTGAAATGGATTCAGAATCCCCTGTGTGGCCGGTAGTGACCGCAGTAGTGTTGTCAGACATTTGAGGATAATATCTGTAAAGACTGCAAAGATGGAATTAGAAGCAGTACACTACCGTTGTGTCGTGCTGAAAAGCGTAGCACAATGTATGTAACTTCCACAAAGTACAGAAAAAATAATCTCACCTGCTCCAAAAGCACAGGATTGCTTCTGCGTTCCATATACAGAATATTGCGCCGTCACAGATACGTCAGAATGGTCGGAGTACAGTTCTTAAGTAGCTGAACTTTACTAAGGAACTCCGATTTGTAGTTGGGGAAGTTTCTATCTACATCTGGTAGCCTGACCGGTTGGGAGAAGACTAGCTTTGCATACGGAAGCTAAGTGCTAACCTTTAGGTAACGTGGCCGGTTCGTTTCTACCAACGCTTCCCCAATAAAAGGCAGAATCGCTTCTCCCATGGAAAAGGTAGACGCTGGCACTCTGAGGAAAAACCCATTGAACTGACACTCTCGTCACAGGAAACAAAACTATCCTCTTATGCATCTTCGCAGTACATCCCACAGCAGGGCGATTTGCAGCCTTTTCTGGCTACCGTCCCTTGGGTAGCCCAGGGGCAGTTTTGCTTTTAGGTACGACTCCAGTCAGTGCAGCCCGCAGTCACCGCAACTCCAACCAGGTCACCACGATAAGGTGAAGGCTGGTATCAAAGGATGGTCAATGGGAATAAGATGCTGCGTTCGCAGTAACAGGATTTCAAAAATCATCGACAAAGCAAAGTAAGGACAATGGGTATCCCAGAAGAAAGCAAAACAGTTTGTCTCACTACAAATATTGGCGCCTGTGTAACTGTGTAACAAGAAGAATATTGTGGCATTGTAGTATTGGCTTTTGGTCTGCTCACCGAGTTTGGCCATTCGTATCGTAGTACAAGGTCCGAAAAGCACGCTTGGATCACGATCACTGTCATTGACAGCATGACATCAAACTTCCAAACTGATGGTTCGCTGCCGTAAAAATTATTTAATTAAGACCCATTGTCAATTGGGAAGGATATCAGTGCCAACTTACAACAATCATTCCGGGTTACCTACACCTCCAAACACTCATTCATATACCCTAGATAGAGGTTGACAGTAAGAATCACTACTGGTACCGACTATTAGACACCTCTTACAGCGTCTCCAAACACGCACAGTGTTTCACGCGGACCCCATCCGGGAAGGCGAGCTGCACCAAAAGTACTCAGACTTTTCCCAATCAATCCCATTTCCTCCTGCCAGGTCAAAGACTGACCATCTCTCTGCTCACGTCACTCTGAAGTGGGCACGAGAAACAACTCTCTTCGATAAACGATGGTTCGGTATGCGCAATACGTGGAATAGTCACCGCAGTTCCTGGTTCTGGACACATTCCTCAATGGGCTTTCCTGTTGCACAGTCGAAAGCCCGCTACCTAACAGCCTTGTTACGGATTCACCGACATCAACGTACACGGGCTATGGTCCTTAGACAACGATTATCGAAGACATGGAGAGGTCCCAGTTCCGTTGCTCAAACAAGCCGAGTCTTACAGCCACACAAAACAGCCTGTACTGAGTCTGGTACACAAGTCCCTTAAGATCCACAGATATGCCAGTAGGCCGTCATAGTTGTACTCGATTAGGCAACGCGACCGGAGTCTTGAAGATTCGTGCAATCTGTTATATTACAATCGGAGCTAGTACAACTTCCATGATTCGCAAAATGCTCCACAACTTCCAGTACCTCTCCTTGGATTGCATCACGGCAGCGAAGCATCAGTGTTGAACACTGGTGTTATGCTGTCGATGATGATGACGCCTTGGATTGTAAGTGGCGTGTTCAGTGACGGCATGTCCAGAAGCAACAACTAACACTTTGTAGATGGAGAGCGCCTACCGACTTAATGAAAGAATTAAGGAAGGAAGGAAGAAAGAAAGGAACAAGTGAATCGTTCAGCCGTAGCAAGCTTTCGGTCACTATTTAACAAAACTAAGATAAGGAAGCCCGGAAGCTCCCAACTTGCCCCAAGCCTAGACAGGAGACTTTGACCAGTTCATCCAAACACCTGCGTCTTTTCCTCGTCGGAGACGAGAACTATCTTGTCTGCGTATTCCAAATAGATAAGGTTTTCATCAACGGCTACATGAACACCAGAGTTTCGAACAATTTTCAGCGCATATCGCATTATCTCGTCAGTCATGATGTTATACTTGAATGGAAAGTGGGCTTCTTGACGGAAACTGCTTTGTGTATGGAGGCTTCTGGAGAGCTCTCCATACGCTCACACGCTTATAAGTCTGAGAATATGAAGAACTTATATTCACAAACTTTTGAAAAACTGCTTGCTGAGCGAGCGTGTTAGGCAGGTGCTTGGAAAACCTCTATAAAAAAGTCCGCCTCCAAATGCGTCCGTACGGTCGGAGATGGGTGTCTTGGAAACAGACAAAGGCGCCTGTTGCAACTCGATTAGATACACTCATTAGATAGATTAGATTAGATACACCAATTGGCCCCCGTTTACGCAGTTTTACTCATTGTCGTGTTCTCACCTAGAGATAGCTCGAAATTGTAAGGAGACTGAAACCAACCGCACTGACGTGGTGGACGCGTTTGAGCGGGTTTGGAATTTCTTTCCAAAAAGTGTAATAATGCCAGGAGGGTCAACAGCAGTACCATGTAGCAGGTGTGAAGGCGATAAGGTGTGTTACCCAACAAACTAACATATACACATCTATGGAGGCTGAGACACCGTCTTCCCTGAAGAAAGGTATGTTCATTCGCACCAGGGACATTTCACCAGAAATGGAAACGAATGCTCAGCTGGTATACGAGGATGGAATAAGGCTTGATAAAACGTGAAATGGAGGGGAAGGGACGGAGACTTTTCACAAAAAGGCTTGCCCTGAGAAGTTTACAGTAAGGCGCCTATACCTTCCAAAACTATCGAGAAAAACAGCTGAGCATGTTGTAGGAGCAAAATGAAAGATAATAAGATAATCGCTAGGCATTTTATAACGCCCTTTCGGTGTCTAGCTGCTATGCCATCAAAAGTAAACACGAGGCTGGGATACTATCCAGATACCCAAGCCTGGATGGGGTAAGTCGAGAGGTAGAAGTTGGGTTCGAATCACGGATCCTCCGGTCAGTAAATTGGCGCCCTGACCACTGAGCCATCTCGCAAGACCTCAGTATCGTCATCAGAGAGCGAGACACCCTCAGCGGAATCGACCGGACCTCCTTCGTGAACCATATTCAACAAAAGCTGGGCAAAAAACGACTATCATTAGCCAAGTAGTCCTACTGAAACTGACAAGCCAGCTAGTGTGTTGCATGGCATGCCCCAAGGGGATTCCAATCATGCGTATGAAGAATCATGTGGACCCCGTCCAGGAAGATGTGAAGATTTCACAGCACTCGACTTGACAGTAGCCACTCGTATTTCATATCGTTAAGTCGTGGTTCGTCTTCCGCGAACCCTTCGTCAACAAGGATTCCAAGTGGGAACAAGATTAGTAGATGGTGGTCAGTTATAGATGATAGACGCCTCAACCATCTTAATCTGACAAGCCATATCTGCTACTTGGTCGAATCCCACTATTTATCCTGTACTCGCTTACGGACCGTTTCAACGAAGCGAGTTAGCGCCTGCTTCACTACCTAGGCAGTGACGATCAAACATTTGAAGGCCATTGAGGATTCCTGGTCGGTGGAGCAAGGTTTCACAGTCATATGGTAGGAGTGCCCTCAGGTTCTTCCTTCGATACGCCTCTCTGCCTTTGGTTATATTCGTCTCTGACACCAAAAGTGATGCAAGTTGGTATACATTCCCAACCGTGGACCGTCACAGTGCAGTCACGGATTGTGCAGCTGACAAGATAAGTAAATCACATTTTGAAGATTCAAAGGTGTAGAAGGAAATGGGAAACCTCGGTACGTTACTTTGCACTTCAAGTGCAAACTGCAAATCAAAACAGGGGGCTTCTTCCGATAAGATATTTGGGATAGTTTGAGAGGGAGACGTACGGTCGTCTAATAGCAGATCAATGCCACCGCATAATCCAATTTTGCCAAGTTTTCCTCGGGTGTGATTTTGACATCCAGATTCATCTTCCCTAAGAAAGCATACTCTGCTAGGGCGTTGATGACCAAAATAAACAGACAGGATGGAAGAGATACCTTTGGTGAACCCCAGTGGTTGCTGTGAAACTTTTGGATGGCATACACAGACCAGAAATATGGGATGAAGTGGCACGAAAAGTGCTGACAAACTTCGATTGAATTCGTCTTGGCCACGAATATATGGATGCGGAGCCTATCCAAGGAGTCCAAGACTCTTTGAAGCCAAAAAAGATCAACACGGTTTGTCGGCGATATGTCTCACGATGCACAAACGTTGGTCGTAATGTGAATATGTGGTCAATGCACCCTGTACCTAGTCGGAATCGCGTCTGATGCTCTCGGACTTATTTCTTGCAGGATGGTCAGACTTTGCAGCAATAGTGAAGCATCCGTTTCATAACTTCGGTATTTCGAATCAGTTCTTCAGTTCGAAAATCGTGCATCGAAATTAGAGGCGATAGCTTCGATGCTAGACTGGTATTAGTTGCATGACACAGCGATACCTGTCAGGGTCTCTAGCCATTGGTTTGAGTTGTCCCAGTCCGGGAATCCGACATCTAAAAACGCAACTGAGTTCAGTGGTTGTTGTGAGCTCTCACTAAGACCCAAAGCTACAGATCGTCGTGACGGCTGATGCCTTTACCTTTGCAGTCGGTGCCGTCATTCTGCGCTTCTTCCCAGAGGGATCGTGGTAGGCCATCATGCTTGATATTCAAGGTCACCGCACCACCGACTTTGGTTAGGCCGATGCATTATCTCGCTGATTAGCAATCAGCCGACTCACGGAGAAGACACGGTCGTTGCGCAGGTTGCTTTCGAAATCAAAACCAACTACGCCTCAACAGCACGCCGGAAACTCTAGTATGTTCGGAAACCATACAGTTGGACATACTGCTCTATACCTTTGAGCTGAGAGCTGACGCAGTTCCGAAAGAAAAAAGTGTGGTCGGCAGCTCGGTGCTTGATCACGTACTTCTTCCCAGGCGGTGGACAAAGCGATGCCCCCGCCAGTCGGAACGCATCCAAGTCGACGCACGTCGAACTTGTTACTGACTTTTCACAAAATGTTGGGGTATCAATATCCCCAAAACTCTGTACCTTTGTGTGTACTAACGAAATTCCGGCATTTTTCAAGATCAAACTATGGATATACATATGGATTGTCATTTTTCGGTTATCACTTGTTAACCACCTGTTGTTCGGAGCATTACAGTTGTGTCCAAGGTTTCGTCTTATTGCTATTCCACCGCACTAGAAGTAGGGATCAAGCAACATAGCTGGGGATAGAATATCGTTACAGTCCGCGCATATTATCGTCTGCTTGCTGCGTGATCAAACCATAACAGTGGTATGGGCGTTCATGCTCCTTTGTAAGATCATGGGCTGTCTGAGATGAGATGGCTCAGTGGTTAGAGCGCGAATTGCTGACGAAAAGGTTCGTAGTTCGGACCCGACCTCTGCCTCTCAACTTCCTCTGTCTAGGCTTGAGCAACCTGGCAGTATCCCAGTCCTCATAATTCCTTCTGATGACACAGCAGCTAGGCACCGAAACGGCGCTACAGCTGGACTGTCCGCCCCTGAATCCTCTTATCCCGACAAAAGGTTGAACGAAGAGGGGATCCACGAGGCAAACGGTTTCCAGCATAAGAAGCACACGACCTAACCAGCGTAATCTGCGCAGTGTGACCAGCTGGTCTACGAGGAAGACTGAACTTCCCAAAATCCATCTGGCTTACCTTAACATTCCTGATCTATTGTTCCTACCAGACTCGCGCAATGTCTTGAGGACATCTATGGTCAAATACGGAGGGCTTTCGTAAGCTGCGACCACCTCTCTGATCCAAAAAGAACGAAAGGTCGGATCACGGCATCGTACATTCTCGTCTTGACAGTCACGGTGATGTCAAGTCGGCGCCACAAGAGTCGGAAATTAGCAAACGTTGCCCTAACCTCCCCGATTTGGACGGCAATTTAGTCTTCCGCTGGACCGTCTGGCATGACGCAGCTGTCCAGGTAAACGAACTCGTCTACCACATCTATCGGCTCACCGGCAAACATGAGGTCTGAATTCGATCCAACCCAATCTCACAGCAACAACTAACAGGTACGAAACACATACCGAACTGTGCAGCGAAGTTATTTAGAATAATCTGCACCTCTAGAGGATCTCATCTACGAAAAGCAATATGGATGGCGTACTCAATGCCCGTGAACGAACGCCTCGGATGTACGCCAACCCCCGGGATGTCAGAGGTGGGCAGAGAAGATTGA